GGTGGCAACAGGCTTCACCATTCCACTGATAATCTGCACACTGCTGTTCAATGAGTATTGCAGGCAGAGGTTTCACCCAGTGTTCCGGAATAACCCGGCGCAAGTGCTTGTTGAAATGGACAGGATGGATGAACAGAACGGGAGGATGAAGGAAATATATCAGAAGGTGACTTCCGCTTACTGTCAATTCAGAAGAACTTCGCTCACGCTGGGTAACCCCGTTCCTCTGAACCCCAATGAGAAAAACATGCTTCAAGAACTAGAAGACGACGTGAATCCAGGTTCTTAACTTATCTAAGCTTCATTTTCCTCTTTGCTACTAGGTTTGATCTACTTTTTTTTTAAATTACTATTTTCTTAAATTTGTTACCATCGTAGCTGCACTGAGACCAGATCAACTTCCGGGATCTTGGAACGAGCACACACAGTTAGAGATTGAAGAAGAGTTTCCAAACAAGTAGTATATACTGTATGTATTGATTTGGTTCATATATGAATAGGAGAAGAACAGATCAAATAGAACTGCTGCAAAATGTACAGAGTGAGAAATGAAGGTTCACTACTTCACTGGAGCACTATGTGTACATAATTACAAATGTTACGAGTATATATTCATACGATACATACGTATATCATCTCTGGTTTATGTTATCTTCTGGAATGGATCATCCCACACCCCAACATATTATGAACTTCATAACTTACCTATAAAAATTGATGTCGGAGAACTTATATCAAATTTAGTCATTTTGCAATACTAACTTACATACATTGTCCAAACAATGTATGTTTTGATCAGATCCTTGCAACCCAGCCATTCTTGTCTGCTATTGCACCTCTTTGGATATCAAACAGTGTTGAGCCTAGTTTCTTGCCCACAGTTTCCTCCCCTAATTTGTACTCCATCCTGTTTATACATATAAATTTTGAAACACAAATATGATGTAAATTAATTTTTTTTATGTTCGTTTTGAAATAAATGGAAGGAAAGAACTCCATGTATACCTTTTACCCTTGTAAGTAATGCTTCCGACAGGAGCAACACCCACTGCAGTTCCAGTGCAGAACGCTTCATTAGCACCGCTCAACTCCTCAACATCCACCTCCCGTTCTTCGACCTCGTGCCCTAAATCCCTTGCGATTTCTATAATACTTCTTCTAGTGATCCCCGGGAGGATTGTCCCGTTGGTGGCTGGAGTCGAAACAACGTTCCCCTATAAAAGTCCTTTGTCAGAATATAAATACAATGCCAAATGGCTTTATTTTTTAAAAAAATATTCAACAAATGGATGCAGTAATTAGTACTGTACGTACATATGTACCTTGACGATGAAGATGTTGCATGAAGAAACCTCCTCGACATATCGCTTATGGACAGAATCGAGGTAGAGTACATCGGAGAATCCCCTGCTTTTTGCTGTCATAAGTGGTTTCATCACGGGTGCGTAGTTAGTAATGCTCTTGACACCAGCAGCTCCACCGCGGGACGCGCGGTGGAACTCTTCCTCTACATATAAGTTCAAAGGGGCAGTTCCCTCCTTGAAATAGTTTCCAACTGGGGATGCATAAACCAGAAATGTATAAAGTGGAGCCGGAGCCAACCCCAAAACAGGTCCACTTCCTATTACCATAGGCCTAATATACAGAGACCCTTTTCCGTGAGGTGGTATCTGCAATTTTATCCAGTTATTTATTTACTACTCTTAATAAGTTCTAATGATTTTGAGTTAGACAAGAATTACCCAACGGCGGTTGGCCAGCAGGGTTTGCCGGAGAGCGTCCCGGAAGACGGGGGTTGAAGGGGAAGGCATGCACATTCTGGCGGCACTAATCTGCATTCTTTCTGCATTAAGATCTGGTCTGAACAAGAACATCCCATCCTTATCGTTCTCTCGTCTGAACGCCTTTGTCCCCTCGTACACCCCCTGCCCGTAGTTCAACACGCCCGCGGCAGGACTCAATTCCAGGTTCCCAAAGCGCTGGAGTTTGCCTTGCTGGAAACAACCGTCGTCTCCGGTGCAGTTGGAAACGTACATGTAATCAGTTGGAACGATCCCAAATCCGAGGTTGTCCCAATCGATGTGGCCACCTACGGGACACTGCCCCTCTTCCTTGTTACATGCCGACAACACGGTGATGAATCTCCGCTGTCTCATTCCAAACTGCAGGCAAGCAAGCAAGGAATCACAAATAGTGCATTAACTATATATATATGTTCCACACTACCAGTAGCTAGCTAGGTACTGAGTGACTCACCTTGGATCCATAACGACAAAAAGCCGCCGCAAGTCCTAACATATTTGGCGCAGCGCCGCAGGGATACAGAGATACAGAGAAGAAGATGAAAAGAAATGAATGGAAATGATGATATAATGCAGTTTGTTGAAAGGCAACGAGAAGATAGATATGGGAGGGACAAGTTCGGTAGTCATTTTATGATCATTCTATATATAGATATCAACTTATCATTTTTTGGATTTCATTTTTTTTGGTGCGTGGAAAGTATGGGGCTAATAAGGATAGGATTGTACAGGTCAGATTGAGCACCTATATATATGCATGATAAGGAGTGGAGTATTATTATGGCAGATAAATTGACAAATAACTGAATCTGAACATATATGGAGTATTGTCACGTTCACTCCATTTCCATTAGAAAAACTTATAGATTTGAATTTAGATGATAAATTTGACTTAATAGCTCACGAGTTCAAAACTAATCGCCACCTATTTTTTTAAAAAAAGTTAAGGTTTCACGTGCATGGTTCGAAAAAGACTACGCCTGCACGTAAGGGCGCATTAGAGTATTAAAAATATTTTCTGGACCACGACCACAAGCTTGAACTTTTGGTTGGAGATTATTTTTTGACATAGACTTACGTGTTAGATATGGAGGAACTTCGAACATCGAAAAAAGAAATCGAAATAGAGTAAATTTCTTAATTGTTCATATTAATGATGTGGGAGTGTACAATTGTACATCTATACTTTTAGGTTATAGAGAAAGTCTATTAAAACTAGATTTTTTATCTTACAGTTTAAAGAAAAATATCAAAATAATATTTCCTATAAGTTTGTTTTATGAGTCAAAGTGCTTAGATGAACAGTTCCAAAAGTCAAAAGTGGACAAAAACTGGGGGACGGGGGAAGTAATTTTTATCAATGATTAAATTAAAGCCGTCAAAAAAATTATTATGACAAACACATACTCCCTTCGTCCCAAAAAGATTTTATCTTTAAAAAAAAATTGGTTCCACAATCTCCTACTCATTTCTATTAAAAAACCCTCTTACCCCTTACTTTTTCAAACTCTACCTATCACATCATACCTTTTCCCTAATAATCTACATATCACATCCTACTTTTACCCACCACATCAAGGGTATTTTTGGAAAGTAAACACAAAATTACAAGGGTATTTAGTCAAAACGTGTAAATCTTTTTGGGACGGAGGTGGTATATGATAGTTAAAAAATAATTTGATAACACATATATTATATCATTATTAGAAAAAAGTTGAGTCACACGAAATTCTTTTTTCATGGATAATTTTATAAAATTAAAAGATTAGGACAATTTTGATCTCTTCAGAGTAAAGAAATTTAATTGGATTATTAAGTGGCACTATTTTGCGTTTAATGTTAAATTGCTTCTTCAACAATGAGGGAGCAGTTGGGGATGTAGCTCAGATGGTAGAGCGCTCGCTTAGCATGCGAGAGGTACGGGGATCGATACGCTGCATCTCCATTCTACTTAGCATTCCATTCCATTGGCGAGGCACTTGTCTCAAAAAATTTTTTAGCACAAAAAAAACTTATATGCATATGTTTTTCTCTATACAAGTATTAAAAAAAGCTCTTTTTAACTATGAAAAAAAATATAGTTTTTAAGTCCTAATATTGTTTTTATGCATCATTCCTACAATTTAAGTAACTACTAGCAATAATGGTTTATAGTTGATATAATAATAATAAATAATAAAAATAACCATATTTAAAGTTATAATATTAATTAATATTTAGGCGTGTATAGCTTTAAATAAGGTAATGTGATTTATTAAAAAAAGCTCTTTTTAACTATGAAAAAAAATATAGTTTTTAAGTCCTAATATTGTTTTTATGCATCATTCCTACAATTTAAGTAACTACTAGCAATAATGGTTTATAGTTAATAAATATAACCATATTTAAAGTTATAATATTAATTAATATTTAGGCGTGTATAGCTTTAAATAAGGTAATGTGATTTAATCAAATTATAATTATTATTTAATCCTTGAAAAGTGTTAATATTTTTTTCGTTATCTGATCTAATTAGATTTGATCTGATCTGATTTTTAATAGAAATAAGTCATAAGTATAAAAAACAAGTCCTACAGAAAGGACCCTCAATCAAATACCAAGCGGGTAAAAAAATGCAATCTTGGCTTTTATATTTTTATCTTTAAAATATAAAGAAAGATTTAAAATATGAACTTTATTTTTTTATCTTTAAAAAACCATTTATAATACCAACAATACTACTCCGCAATACTTCATCCGTCCCGTAAAAAATTTTCTGTTTTGACTTTCAAAGGATAAAATGTAGAAGTTTGACTAAAGTAAAATGATGATATATAATTGAAACCAAGTAGGGTTCTAGAATTATCAAAATGGATAGGGCAGAAGGTAGTTGAGAACAAAAAATCTAAAGTGAATTGAAAAATGTGACAATTAAGGTAGTAAAAATGTGTTTTGGGATGAGTAAGATATGAAAATCGAAAAATTTTAAGAGGGAGTTTTTGGGTGTCTCCAAATGGATGTGAAAAAATGCATCTAATTTGTACATGCATGACACGTATTAGCGAGTAGTGAAGCTAGATAAGATTAATTAACTACCACATAAGGAGAATGAAAGTAATTGGGAAACGAAGAGGTTAAAATTTCAATTTCTGGAAGAAATAAATATTCGATGTGCACAAGTAATTAAGTAGTACGATATGGTTCATGATATGATATGATACGATATGAAGAAGCTGCAGCTGCAGACAAAATAAAATTAAAGAAATCAAGAAACTAGCGGAAAGGAGCGTCGGGAGGGAGAGCTCCACCTCCGACATGATTATGATGATGTTGGTGGTGGTGGTGGATGTAATGGCGGTCCATGTAGAGGGCGGCGGCGGCGGCGGATTGGGGGTGGAGGCCGTCGGGCATGACCATGAACTGCATGTCCTCGGAGGGCTTCCAGTGGCGCTTCCTCTGGTTGATGAACCAGTTGTTGATCTGCTTCTGGTCGAGGCCGGTGGCCTCCGCCAGCGCCACCTTCTCGGTCTCGGAAGGGTAAGGCCACTTGTAGTGGAGCTCCCACCAGCTGAGCAGCTTCTGCCTCGCCTCCTTCGGCAGCTTCCCTTTCTTCTTCTTCTTCGACAGCTCCTGCTTCAGGCTGCTCAGGTACCCGCTGTACTTCCGTAGAAGGTGGTTCTTCAGCTCCCGGTCTTGCGCCCGCGGGTCCATGTCCCTCACCTCCGTCTCCCCGCCGCTGTTGTCTTGGTCCTCCTCCTCCGATGACCCTACCCCCTCGCAGTACTTCTCATCCCCCTCTGTTCATCACACCTCACGTTATATTGACTAAAGTTGTAAAATAAGTGAGATATAATTTTGTGTTGATTTTTCAAAAATGCCCTTGATCTTGATGTGATGGGTAAAAATAAGATGTGATGTGTAGGTTATTATAAAAAAGGTATGATATGATAGGTAAGGTATGAAAAAATAAGGGATAAAAATGGTTTTTTAATAGAAATGAGAAGGACTTTAAGGAACACAATTTTTTTGAAACATGAAGGACTTTTTAGGCAGAGGGAGTAACTTATTTCTCAATGTAGGATTTAAAATTTTTTTATTCCCAAAATAGTACTTAATAATGTTTATGAGAGGAATAATATCGAATGATGGTAGATATTTATTTGAATAATGACTAATAGATAATGACCAATGCTCCTATACTGAAAAATAAAAACATATGATTGTATATTAAAAATGTCATTATGTTTTAGTCCTATTTGGATAAATTTCTCTATTTATTAATGCATCACATTCATCATAATGGGCAGAAAATTTAAGATTAAAAATGGGCCTTAAACATGACCCTCTCAAATAATTTGTTGGCACGGAGAGGAAATTTAAAATGGGCCTTAAACAAAAGCGTGTTTTAAAATTTAACAAACAAAATTCTGTCGGCATAAAATTCTTACCTGTTTTCTCTATTACATTTCAAAAAAAAAAAAAATTAGCTTTGGTATCATGAGCAGCAGAAAGGAATCAAAAGATATTCAAAGAAGTACGGTCTTCGTATTTAATGCAGAGAAATCCCTTCCATACCCCAAAATTTCGATTAACCAATTATTTTGAATTTTCTTTAGTCCCCGTTTGGTATACGGAATTCAAATTACGGAATTGGAATTGGAGATTTCAATTCTAATTCTTGTGTTTGGTAGCACAAAAATTGTGTAAATTTTGAATTGGTAGTGCAAAAAATGAATTAGAATTGATGAATTCAATTCTATGGAATTGAATCCCATGGAATTTCAATTCAATTTCAATCTCATCAATTCCGTGCACCAAACAGACCCTTAAAGTTTTTAAAAATGGTCACCAATTTTTTACCTTGGGATTTGAATTGTGGTTTTTGCATTTTAATTTTTAATTACTCGAATAGACGATTTTTTTAATGGATATTTGATATTCAACTCAATATTCATTACATTACTATTTTACAATTTTACTCTCTTTGTTCTGAGAGATTGTTATCTTCAACCTATCTCATTGTTTTAATCTTATTCAATTAAGTTTTGAACTGATTTGATTGTAATTATATTTAAAATTATTTCTTATCTAATTTTATTTTAATAAAAATAAGTAATAAGCAAAAAAATAAGATGAAGAGAACAAACTCTAAATCTCCATCTCATTTGAAATTTTCCAAATTAACCTTGATATAATGGATAGTACGAAATATAGAGTAATAGTTAATAGTTAAGTCTAATCCAAAATATCCCAAAGGTAACAATTAATATGAGTAAAAGTATTTTTAAATCAATATTCATATTTTAATTTTTTGAAAAAAAATGGGACAACACCGGAGTCCCATAGTGTCCTACCCCATCCCATCCACAAACACAAATTTTCGAAATGCCTATGGATATATTTAACAATTTTTTTTTCGCTTCAAACAAAAGTGGCCCTATATAGCTAGCACATATGGACCAGTGAATGAATTGAAAGGCGCCCGCATGGGCAGTTCAGTTGGTCAAGAGCGTGAAATCTTGAACCGATGATCAGGGATCGAATTCCGGAAGTGACAGTGTGAGAGTTATCCAAAAAATCTCATAAAGGGTAAGGAGTCACCATGATTTACTTACTCCACTGTCCCTGCCGGGCAAGGGAGTGGGAGCTGGGATGAGCGATTCCACCGTTTGGAAGGGTGAATAAATTGAAAGGCGTCGATATGTAAAAGAAGAAGAAGAAAAGACATGAACGGCTATCTATAGTTTAACACTGACAAGAGGGCTCCGCTGCCCTTTTGTAGGTCATATTTTTATGCTTATCATCACCTTTATCTTTATTGGTCAATTATTAAGTACTGTATTTGTGGACTATTCCAAGGTATCCCAAAGAGTGCCCTACCTACCTAACTCTCCCTCTCTCTCTCTTAAAAAAACATGGACTCCCAAAAAAAATGTTCTTTCAAAGTACCGCAAATGAAAAGTTTTGTTTGAGACGAGGTAGTATAATTTCGCTGTCAAAATTGTGTAGCCAACAAATGGGGAAAGCAAATAAGGGGAAGTGGAGTGCTTCTTTGGGTGAAACGCCCAAATTCATGTGGAATGGATGATATATACTCCCTCCGTCCACCTAAGATCTTCCCATTACGCGTTACGAGGCTTGACCGACTTTATTTTCAATTCAATTTAATTGATTATAGGGGTAAAATTTTAAAATAAAATTTATATAGTAATAAACTACATGAAAAGTTCTACAAAACTAGAGGTGACAAGACTATATTATTTTACGAAATGACTAGTAAAAATGAGCAAACAAAGTGAGTGAAGTTTGACCCTGTGAATAGTGACTGGAAAGATCTATGGTGGACAGAGAGAGTATTTTATATAGATTGGAAATGAAAAATAGACCCGGATGGGATGGGACACTAAACACTTGAGCAATAAGCTGTTTCCCAGCTCATGAAAGTCCAAATCACACCCTTTTCCTTTTCAACCACATACTATGAATGGATGAGATATTTATGGTGGTGACTATTCTAATTATATTTGGGACTTGAACCACTTTCACCAAATTGATTCCACCCATCCCCAAGTACAAAGTACTCCTTTCTCGTTTTCAAAAAAACAATTCTTATATATTGACTTACCGTCAAAATAAAGACACGAGCTATTTAGAATTGACTTTTCAATTTTGTCTCTAATATGATGAGTAAAAATAAAATGTGATGGTAGATTATTAGTGAAAAAGCACAATGTGATAGATAAGGTAAGTGTTAATATGGGTAAAACTGAATGTGTTAATAGAAAATGAAAGTGTTTCGGTGAAAAAGAAAAAAAATGGAAGAGGAAGAGATTTGGTACCTGAGTTGAAGATGCGGAGGGGAGCATCACATAAAAGGTTGAGCTGCGACTCAATCCGCCGCATGAAATCCATGGCTTCTGCAAATGGCCTCTCCAGCTCCTCTCGGCACTTCACTAGCGTTTCACAATAAGCTCCCTGATCAATCCAACCAACCAAATTAGTATATATATATACATATATATATATATATATACATACATACATATATATATATATATATATATATATATATAAACGCACCTTCTTCATCTTACAATAATAATATAGGGAGTATATATGTACAAAATATATAAGCCAAGGGGTCTCACAAAATTAATTGAACACAATACAATAACTGCATGTGTGTATGTATATAGCCTGGTTGGCTCGATCACGTACCATGAACTGATCAAGTTCAGGGTCCTTGGAGAAATCTATGGACCCGAACGAAGCTCGCTGCTTCCCCTCCGCCTCTTGCCTTGCCGTCGTCAGACGCGCCACCACTTCCGGCGGAGCTCCCACCTTCTCGACCCACCATTCACAACCACAACATCAAAACAAACAATGGCGTGTCTTGAAATATTAATTGAAATAAACTCAAACAATCTCTCATTTCTCAAATAATATAGGATACCTTTTGACAATCGATGAAAGCTTCTAGGAGGCTAAAATAGTGGGGATGAGAAACGATTTTGGCCTTCACCGGGTCGACTTCTCCGAGAGAGTTTCCCGCTCCGGCGGCGTCCGCCTGGTGGTGGTAGTCATTGTGGTCGTCACGGACGATGAGAGGGTATTGGTGAAACATTTGATGGTGAAGAGAAACGGCGCCGTTTTCTCCCTCCGTCTTCACCTGATGATGAGGAGAGTGTCCCTCCGACTGACTGTAGCACTCGCCCCCCGGCTGCAGATGAAACCCGGTGGATATGTGCAGGTTATTATTATTATTATTATTATTATTATTATTTCCCTCGTCGGGTCTCCCGTAGCTTCCTAGAACCGACCCCCCCCCGCCGCCGTACATGAAGTTATTGTTTCCGCTGCCCCTCTGCCTCGCGGCGACGGCTTCCTCTGCAAGATGGTTGTAGCTCTCCATTTCTCTTAATTAGCTAGCTTCTTTGTATAGAACCCAATTAGTCTATTGCCGAATTCAAATCAAAGAAGCTACGTGAAGGAGGTTAGTGGCGGTTGCTGGCCTGGCTGCGCCGCGGCGGTTTCCTCACCCCCTAATTAAGCTACTGCGTACCAGGCCAGGCCTTTTGGAGTTTGCCTGGCTAGCTAGTTGACACTTGACAGCACTAAAGAAAATTAATCATAAAGAAAATTACTGACCTCATATACACTTATGTACACACACACACAAGCACTCTCTCTCTCTCTCTCTCTCTCTCTATATATATATATATATATATATATATACTCTTAGCAATTTGATACTCCATCTCTACTTAGTACTCTGTGCTTAATTGTTTGATTAACAAAAGAGATTTGCTTCCGATGTAAAATTGTAACTATCACATCTTTGCTTTTCTTAAATCTAACTTAACATACTTGAACAACCTTTTATGTCAAATCCATTTTGATACTACCTCCGTCTCATTGTCTTAGTCCACTTTTGACTTTTGGAACTATTCATCTAAGTACTTTGACTCATCAAATTCTCTCAATGTATAAGCCTAAAAATAGTCATGTGTGATCTTGTTTGATTCGTCTTAACATATAGATTATTAATATATAATTTTTATAATTTTTTAATATAAAAATTAAAAGATAAAATGGATTAAAGAAGTGCATTGGATGGTGTGCCAAAAGCTAAGTGGACAAAGACAGTGGGACGGAGGGAGTATTTCTTAAGCCTTTTATCTTCGCTTTACTTTACTTTCTTAAATCACATCTTACTTTTGTTTTAATTGTCGTCGTTTTACTTTAGTCAAACTTCTACACTTTCCCCTCTCAAAAGTCAAAATAAAAAAAAAATTTGCGGGACGTGGGAAGTATGTTCTAATATCGTCTTTAATATCTCTCGACATTAACACTATACTAAAAGGCCTAATAGCTTCGGTGCCCCCCGTGAATTAGAAAATTGACACCAATACCCCTCTATTATCATAACTTATTTCTAAAGTCCTTGTGGTTTCAAAACGTTACACCCACACCCCCTCTGATCATTTTCCGGTAATTTTCCGGCGAAGAGGGGCATTGGCGCATAATTTCTAAACCATAGGGGGAACTCGTGCTCATTTCTTATTTTTCGTTTATTATTTGTGTTTTTCCTTCTTTTTCTTTTTCCTATATTTTTTTTAAATTTCTTTTCAATTTTTTATAATGTTTTAAAATATTTTAAAACTCTTTGTGTTTGAAATTTAAAAAAAATTAACATACATTACATCTATCTCAAATTAAACATTTTCACTTTTTCTTACATAGAATAATTTTTTGGAAAGTTCAAAAAGAAAACCCAAAATAAAAATATGGAAAAACGAAATGAAAATATTAAAATACAAAAAAAGACTCTTCTACAAAAAAACAATTTTGGAACACGCCAAAAATATCCTTAAAATTGAGATGTCCAAAAAGGATAATCATTTTTATTTTTGTATTATTTTGTTTCTTATTTTATTCATCATTTTTTAAAGTTCTCAAAAAAATTACCTTTTTTTCGGGAAAAACAAAAATAGTTAATTTGAGACGTGCCGATGCATTATATGTTAATTTTTTCAAACAAAAATAACTTTAAATTTTAAGAACATTATAAAAGTAATTACTCCCTCTGTCCACCATATATCTTCCCAGACACTATTCACAGGGTCAAACTTTAATCACTTTGTTTGCTCATTTTTACTAGTCATTTCATAAAATAATAAAGTCTTGTCACCTCTAGTTTTGTAGAACTTTTCATGTAGTTTATTACTATATAAATTTTATTTTAAAATTTTACTCCTATAATGAATTAAATTGAATTGAAAATAAAGTCGGTCAAGCCTCGTAACGCGTAATGGGAAGATCTTACATGGACGCAGGGAGTATAAAATAACCGTTATTAATAAATGAAACAAATAAAGGAAAAAATGGAAAAAAACAAAAAATAAGAGAGAAATAAAAAAATCAGCACTAGTACCCTCCATGGTTTAGAAAATATGCACGAATGCCCCCCTTCTTTGCCGGAAAAGTGACCAGAAAATGATTAGAGGGGGCACGGATGCAGCGTTTTCAAACCACATGGACTTTAGGAATAAGTTTTCAAAATAGGGGGGGTATTGCTGCCTATTTTGCAAACCACATGGGGTATAGACGCTATTTGGCCATACTAAAAGAGGCAAAATTAGGATATATAAATTCTCCCTCCGTTCCTTTAAACCCTTCCCATTTTGAATTTGGGCAAAAATAAGAAAAGTGTCATTTTGGTTGACTTTCTGATTTTGCCCCTTATGTAATGGGTAAAAATAACATATGATAGTTTGATTATTAGTGAAAAGTATGATATGATAGGTAGGGTATGTGAAAGTATGGATAAAAGTGGTTTTTTAATACTCCCTTCGTCCCAAAAAGATTTACATGTTTCTAAAAAATTGTGTCCCACAATCCCTTACCCATTTCTATTAAAAAACCTCTTTTATCCCTTACTTTTTCAAACTCTACCTATCACATCATACCTTTTTTCTAATAATCTACACATCACATCCTACTTTTACTCATCACATCAAAGGTATTTTTAGAAAGTCAACACAAAATTATCTCTCTCTTAATTTCAACTTTAGTCAAAATGGGTAACACTTTATGGGACGGAGGGAGTATAAAGTAGAAGTATTTTAGAGAATTAGAAGAAAACGAAAGGAGAAGGGTTTTATGAAACAGAGGAAGTATAAGAGTTTGATATCCTTTGTGATTATATATATATATATATATATATATATATATATATATATATATATATATATATATATTCAAAATTTAGAACTCGCAGACTCGTTCTTAAGATACATTTTATTTTACTCCATAGCACATTTGCCTGATCAATGTTTTACTTTTTTTTGTTAAAACATCATTACTCCCTCGAGTCTTAAAAATTTTACTTGTTTTGACTTTTTGAGTTAAATAGTGATATTTTTTACCATAATTTGTCAGAAAAGTCAATTGAATTATAATACGGAGTAAAAAATTAATATGACTGGGTTCATCTTTGAACATAATCTTGATATATCAAATTTTTATAAAATTTATTTATTTAGATTATGTTTAATTTATAGTTTAAGAATATGACTTATTGACTAAAAATGTCAAGATAGAAAAGGTTTTCAAGAGTGAACGTAGTACTCCCACCGTCCCTAAATATTTGCCACATTTGTATTCTCGAGTCAAAATATTAGCTTTTTTCAATTCATTTTATTTATATATTGGTATAGAAATAAAAAATAAAATTTACATATAAAAAAACTACATAAAAAATTTTTCGAAATAAGAGGTGTCAAGAATATTTTATTTTATCAAATAACCAATGAAAACATAGAAATAAACAAAAGTTCTCGCGACTACTAAAAAACAAACGTTCCAAATAGTTTGGGACGGTAGGAGTATAAAATTACAAAAAATATACTCCGTACTACATTTTGGAGAAGGGAGTATCACATATAGCTGGCGGCGACAACTCTCTTTATCAACCTCAAAACGTACAATACTTTATCCTTTTGTCAATAATAAATTATTGGAGTAATAATTTGCCAAACATTTGCTTTAATTTACACCTTTGACGCGGGGGCAAGGATGCAACTAAAACAAAATCATCTCAACTCTTTTGGAATATATATACTCCATGAGCCTTAAAAAATCATATTCACTTCAGATTTAAGAGTTTCCCAAACGTGGGAGTAAGTTGTAATCTTCATTTCGAGATTATATGATTTGTTTATTGAAATTGTTATGATGATTATTCACCATATTTGTGATTTTTTGCCCAGTAATAGTGACATTGATAATAAACTTTTGAACTCCCTATATCTAAAAATAAAAAATAAAACACCATTCGACTATAAATAGGTAATTTAAACTATAATGTTATTGAGAGGGGGCCCACGTAGTCAAGCCAGAGCGCGCCCGGAACTCTCGCGCTACAATGCAAGCAGAGTAAAGAAGTAGTGTGGAGCCCACACTTGGATGAGTGAATCGAAGGAAGATGCGGTCAAACCATTTTCTACCAGCTACCCCCACCGTACCTACATCTGCATGCATGCTCCACCCACTGCTCCCCTGCCCAAACTTTTCTCTCTCTCTCTCCTTTTTTTTGATATCTCCTTTCACTCTTGATTTCTCAATCATTCAGAGGTGTAAGCTTCACTCTTTATTGTTAATTTGAAATCAAAATCTAAGTTGCTTTCTCTCAGTTATCGTTTGGTTGAATATTCTTGGAAATGAGGCTCATCCTTTTCCTCTCAATCAATGAGAGAGATATATGACCTCATCTGAATGTTTGTTTGGTTGATCGTGAGCATTTTTCCTAAAAAAAAGTTGTACACAAACATTAAATGTGATTCTTTGTGCTTGTACTTATTGGTTTATTGTTGATAAACAATTTTTAACTTATACGTTGAGCTGCTTATAAATCAAATATTATTTCATGGAAGTAAAATGACCTAAATGATAAGTAAGTCACTTGGAAATATTCATAAATGGCGAGTGCCAGTTTTGTAAATAATCTGGTCAAAATGGAGAAATGAAAAAGTGACTTTAAATTAAGTAGCTAATAAGACCTGCTTTTTCTGACTTAAAAGCAACTTATATTTCAGCTTATAAATACACAGAAACATGTCATCATCTGACTTATAAGCTAAAACTACTGATAAACAGTTTTGACCAGTTTTTAAGCACGGATAAACACCTCCTAAATTTTTACCAAGTTACTCCGGTAATTATTTTAAAATAATGAACTAAAAAACAAATGCAAAAACCTAACTAAAACCGCTAATCTAAAAGGCGAGCTGCTAACAAGTAATGTAAACACGGTTCTTTTAATTTCCAAACAACTATTTTGTGTTGGGAGTTTGGATCGGAGAGGGAGACAACTTAGCTTGAAGAAGACTTGACAGACGAACGACTAACTATTATGTTAAACGTGAAAAAGAATTGATTGACTTGATGATCGATTTATGTGAAACACGCTTTAAGATTGACATTATGTCACGGTTTATTACCAAAATACAAGCATAAATCGATCGGATGCGTCTACTAATGAAATAACAGAGCTAGCTATATGCAAAAAATAACCAAAGATATGAACAAAAACATTCGAATGTATATGCCAAGTTACATGCAAATCGACCGATGCTTCTACATTTTTACGCGAACCGTCCCATCTGTTTGGGAACATTCGAAAGTTGTGTTCCTTTTAATCAAAGGACGTTGGTGGTTAATATATTCGAATGGATTGT